TTCCTGCTGTGCCATTTCTTCCATTTTTCTGCTGTGAAACCCCATCACTACTTCTTAGTAAATCTGAAGACATGCAATTTCACTGTTTAGAGCCTGAAAAGTAGCCACAATACTTTACACGTTAAGTTAAAAGAGCAAAACATAGACTAACTGTTCATAAGTGTGATGCCCTGGGGAAGAAACTGTTTCTGTGCCTAGATGTTTTTGCATACAGTGCTGTCTAGAGGGGGGAGCTCAGAAGTCTGAACTGTGATGGATGACCAGAGAACAGACTCAATGATTACCCTATAGAACTGAATCAGCAGCTCCTGAGGCAGGTTGAACTTCCTGAGTTGACGCAGGAAGAAGATCCTATGCTGTGCCTTTTTGATGATGGTACTGATGTTGGTTGTCAACTTCAAGTCTCGAGAAATTGTGGAGCCCAGGAACTTCTAGGACTCCATGACTGAAATAGTGCTGCTGAGTACAATGAGCAGATATTGGGTGGGGGAGCTCCTCCTAAAATCCACTATCATTTCCACTGTTTTCAACGTGTTCAGCTCCAGCTTGTTACGACCACACCACAGGGCCAGCTGTTCGTTTTTAGGCCGACTCGTCACCATCTTGGATGAGGCCGATGACTGTTGTGTCGTCTGCAAACTTCAGGATTTTTACAGAGGTGTTTTCTGAGATGCAGTCATTGGTATAGAGGGAGAACAACAGCAGGGAGAGCACACATCCCTGAAGGGCACCTGTGCAGATAGTTGGATGTGGTTTTCCTCCAGATGTTGCAGGATGTAATGCAGTGCCATATTGACTGCATCATCCACTGACCTATTTGCTCAGTAGGCATCCTGCAGGGGATCCAGCTGGAGGTCTGTGATGGCCTTCAGGTGGGCCAACACTGGTCTCTCAAAACACTTCATGAGAGACAGATGTCAGGGCAACAGGTCTGTAGTCATTCATTTCCCTGATGGAGGGTTTCTTGGGAACTGGAATGATGGTGGAACATTTAAAACAGGAGGGAACTATACATAGCTCCAGTGATCTATTGGAGATCTGCATGAAAATGGGAGCCAACTGGTCAGCACAGACTTTCAGACAGGAGGGGGTCACGTTGTCTGGGCTTGGTGCCTTATTGATCTCTTGTTTTTAAAAAAAAAGGCAACACACATCTCTTTCACAGATTTTAAAAGGCAACACACATCTCTTTCACAGACCCTCAGAGATGGTGGGCTAAGGGGGGAGAGGTGGTCCTGGGGGAAGCAGCTACAGGTTGTGGGTCCAAGGTGAGGTGAGATAGGGGGGTAGAGTTCTGCCTCTCAAACCTACAGTAAAACACATTCAGCTCATCAGCCAATTGATAGCTCTTCACAGCAGGAGGGTCTCCTGTACCCAATGATGCTCCATAGACTCCTCCACACTGATGATGGATCATTGGCCAGACACTGATTTTTCAGCCTTTTGGAGTAGCCCAATATTTGATATATTTAGCAGTCTGAGGATAAGACTTATCAGTGTTTGTTTGATGAGCATGAGACCTTTCTTTCATTAAATGAATCAAGTGGATTCACAGAAATGAAATTTCATATTGATTTTCTCATCTGAATACATGAGACTACTACAAAACATATTGTCTCTTTAAGGGTCTGGGTTATCCTGGTCAGCTAATGGTCTGAAAACATACATACCATGACATTATAGGTTGAATTTTGTCCAGGAACAGATGTCATCCCATATTTTATGTCACTTTTTACCTACTATTTACTGCCAACCTACCTCTTAATGTGCTTCTCTTATAGAGCATCATAGACGTGACAGCTGTCTTATCAGGACATTTCTTGAGGAGCATCCATCTGCTGTCATCAGTGCAGCCTGTTGTTAACTGAGATACAGGTCTACAGGTGTGTTTTTAATAATAGCTCATTCAGACTTTTAGTCTGATTTCCTCTTGGTTATAATAATTTACTGGAAGTCATTATTCTGATCTCATGTGCAGTGCATCACAGCATGAAATTAATTGCTGAGGTAAACTGCTCGCCTGGCTCTGTGTTAAAAAAAAACACCTACCACCAAATCTAAACCTCAATAATTAAAACCTTTTAATTAATTTAATTTGAACAAAACATGTAAAAATGACAAGTCATATGTGGGCATTTGCTTAAATGACAGAAGCTGTGGTTTTCTCTTCTGGCCACACAAAATCTCAACATTCACATGACTTTTTGTTTTTATCTATAGTTTGGTTGGTCTCTATCAACTCCTGAAAAAACATATCTGGGTCTTGAGCTTGTTAGATGCATAACTTTCTCTGTCACGCTTTTAATTCAGCTCCCTCCTATTTTATGCTGGAAAGGTAACATTTAGTTAGGCTACCCTCAAAGGACAAACAGTATTTGACAGAGTGAAAAGTAACAAATCAGTCTTTCTCTCTTCTGTTTTTCTTGTTTCAGCCATAAAGTTTCTGTGGCTGTGTTGGCTCAGGAACCTGGGTGGTGACGTGTAATGAAATTTCTATAATGAAAATGGAGAGCTGGGATAATCACACTTTGGGTCACATAAAGACCAAATTAGAGCCTGAGTGCTCTCAGTGTGCTTGACTGCTGGCCATCAGCAGAGTGAAGTACCCTCATTATTTTTTGTGTCCCATCTGTATATCTAGCCTCAAAATTCACTCTCCTTTTAGATGTGATTCTGAGCATGCTAAAATGTGTTACTGATGTATGTATGCATGTAAGCTCTGACTCCTACCATTTGGCTTTATGATATGCATTACAGGAAAAAATATACTTTTGCTCTAGAAGATTATTTAAAGTTTGTTGCCAGTATTGGTGCATTATTATTTGTATGTTTTAATTTCAGGTAAAGAAATACATATCCCTTTGAACGAGTCTTGCTGTAAGTAATGTTTAAGTAATTCATAAGTAAAAAATTGTGCACTCAGGGGTTTTACTTGACCACTAGCTTAATTTGGCTAACAGTAGCCAACTTTAGATGGATATTGTGCTCACAGCTGAGTTAGTTTACGGACAACATGGCTTTTGCCTTTTTCATTTGTAAGGTATTGTGTACAGTGATAAGCATACAATTTACTGTATTCTACAGAGTTAGCAGTAAGTTAACTTTTATCTGTGCTCTGTTAGCAGGTCGCAGTGTACACACAGTGACAGAACAGCATTAAAATGTTATGCTGCTAGTTATACATTTAATACTTATCAACATTTTCTTACTCTGTTTATCTCTAAAGACATTGCACAACTGTACACAATCACTTACAATTATCATTTTTATTTGAGTTACATCATTAAAGACAGTCTTAGAGTGACCAGTTACTGTCTGACTGTCACTCTGAATGTGCTTCTTGGGCAAGATGTTTGAAGGAGCTTGTTCAGGGCACGACGGATGCTGGTCAGAAAGATACTGTTTCCTTGGTCAGTGAAGTGCACTCCATCCGGGAGGAATAGTTCCCTTTTGAAAAACCTCAGGAGGGGATGTTCGATCACTTCACCGCCAAAACAGCCAACAGCCCTTCTCATCAGTGCGTTGACCAGCTTCCTGTCGTTGTTGATCTTCTGTGGAAGCCCATATCTCCACTTTTGCCTCTCATTAATGGAGGAAAACAAAACTGTCATTGCCGGAAATTCCCTGTGAAGCTGCATTAATTCTTTCTGCATCTGAGATGCAAGTTTTCTGGGGGGAGTCAGGCCCAGATCATTGCCACCGGCATGGATGACCAAAATATCAGGGGGACTCTGTTTGGCAAGCTCTTCAAAGAAACGGGGAAGAACCCCGCTCCAACGCATGCCCCCTTTGCCAAAGCACTGAACTGTGGCATTCAGTCCAAAGTTTTGTCCATACAGCTCATGTGCAGCTTTCTCCCCCCGACGAATATAACTGGAACCAATGACCCATATCTTTTTGGCTGCCGCCATCGTGTCCACCTCCCTCATCTTCTTTCTGAACATGCCGTCTGAGGGTGTGGTGTCACTCTGCGAAAAGTGCATATTAGCACTTTATCTTTCTCCTCTGCTTTTGTGTCCATCCTCATCCTTTTCCTTTCAGGGGAGGAAAACTCTGGAAGTCCCTCGTTGTCCCTTGCCACTTCACTATAAGGCCTTTTCAGCTGAGGTCTTCTGCTACTGATCCTCCTCCTCTTTCTTTCTGGGGAGGCACATCCCAGACCTTTGCTGTGTGGTCGAAAGATTTCAGCGTAAGCCCTCTTCCTGTTCTCCCGAGGCCAGAAGTTGGCTTTTTGTGTTGTCTTCACAACTACCATGGAGGAGAGCAGACTTTCTGCCATGACCTTGTCCAGTTTGTTGGTGGAAACTTGGTTAGGCTAGATTAGATTAGATTAGATTCAACTTTATTGTCATTACACATGTACAAGTACAAGGCAAGAAAATACAGTTTAGCATCTAACCAGAAGTGCAATAACAGCAGTGCAGAGTGCACAGTAGTACAGTCAGAAAATAATTTACCAATACATATGTATAATTGATATTTACAGTAAGATATATTGGGTAAAGTACAGTATACAACAGACTATGGATTCAGATTACAAGTAATGGATAAGGTACACTAAGCATATAGAACACTAGTACAATGGGATGAAATGAAATGAGATGAAATAGTGCAGAATAAGAAGATAACAGTAAGTTACATGGGATAACAGTTCAATGGTTACTTACTGAAAGTCAGCGAAGTTTTCCAGTCCTTTTCAGAACAACAAATAGAACTTAGTTCTTGGGTTTTCACTCAGTAGCAAAAATCGACTGACCGATACCGTAGAATTTGGTCTTTCACAAGTAAACTTGTTTCAGGTCTGTACTCACGAGCAGAAGTTAAGTAAATGATACTGTAAACCCTGTTCCATAAACTGTTGGCTCAGGTAAGCCAACAGTTGGTAAACCAACAGTTGGCCCTTTATCTGTCAGTTAGTGACCCCAGAGCAGAGGTCAGCATGATGATGGAACCTTTGGAATGATAATTTAAATAATAACAAATGTTAAACTGGGTTTTGCTAGTTTGTGTGTTTTAGCAACATGGTTATTTAAGTTTATTGCACAAACAAGACAGGGACCATAATCTATTTAAGCAAACTGCACAAACAAGACAGGGACCATAATCTAAAATTAAACAGCAGTACATCACAAACACACACCAAATCAGTAGTGTATGTTAGGCAGTTGTGCTGCTGTTACAGTTTTAGCACTTAACAAACATGATCTGTGCATAGGTCCCTGGTGAGTCAAGATGTTTTAGGATGTAATGCAGTGCCATACAGTTTTAGCACTTAACATCTATCCATCATTCTCATTTGTCAAGCAAAAAAGCTCAGAGCTACACTTGGTTTGTGTGCGACCAATTCAAAATCTATCTGATCCAATGAATAAACTCATACATGGCTGTTGTTGAAAAAATGTAGATTTTTTTAAGATGCAGAATTCATATTTTGGAGATACATTCTCTTTCATGGAATGGCAACACATTTCTTGCTCAGTGACTACAAGGTAGTATTCAATTTTGCAACAAAAATCCTGTGAGTTGTGAGTTTGGATAATACAATGCATAATATAATGTATTTTGTACTACATCAAAAGGAAAAATGAGACACAAAAGTTACAGCAAAATTATATTTAGTAACAACAAAAGAAATAATCACACAGTTACAGTACAACAGATGTGCTCTCAGAGCCAAAATAGCCAAGAGGCATATCATGGAGCTGCCCTGATCATAATCATGTGTCCTCCAAACTTTTAATACAGCAAAATCCACTGTCATCATGTGAGTTTTTATGTTAGAGCCTTTAATGACAAGCTGAGACTTCCCCTCCAGCCTGTATGCTATCATTTTTACCATTTTGCCAGCACTCCTCATGAACCTCACATCAACCGAATTCCCTCTCATAGCACAATATAGAGAAGGAGAAAATTGCAATAGAAGCAGCAGGCCCATTAAATTCTCATTGATTTTTCTAAAACCAAGGCAGTCCATATGGGAGTTTGATATTAATGTTTTAGTATGTCACATCTTATTTTACCTGAAATTTCTGAAGCGGCTGTAAAAAAAAAAAAGCCCAAATGTTTTTTTTTTCAATGTAATCATGACCAGATTCGACCTTCTGTTGCTCATGAGACATGTCAGATACACATGAATGGGCAAGCACTTTGAATCGTGCTTCCAGAACGAGGAAACTGCTCTCCTCCATATTTCGAAGAGTATCGCTTGATGGTTACAGCACTGGATGTCAAAATGAGTGAAGATGTCACACTTTGAGATCACCCAAGTACATATGCCTGATTTTCTTTTATCAGGCAATTGAACATCTGCCATATGAATATTAATGAAAGCCCAAATGAGTTGTATAGTAAAAGCACTGTCACCTGTGTAATTCACAGCACTGTTTCTATTACTTCTGGGGGGTATGAAATTGACTCTAAATTGCTGGCTTATAAGAACAAAATAAGTCATCATTTTATACTCAGGCTGCATAATGTCTTAACACTGGGAAAATGATACAGTAGAATTAAAAAAATGACAGGGAAGGCATAAAAATTTTTTTATAATGTAATGGTTATAAATGATACTCTGACCTTGAGCATAGAAGTGGAGGGGACTGATAACCTCAAGGAATTTCCATATGAATGAATAAATATCCAACATCTGTTTCATCCTAGGAACACAAGGCAGAACTTTATACAACAACAATAAACATGTATAATGAGCTTCATCATTTCATGAAAGCCAAAAGAAAGGATGCTGCCCCTGCACTGCACACTCCTAAATAAAGGTGTCTGAGCTACATCTGTACAAATTAGGAGGTGAAAATGAACTTGGTTTAGAAGGATAGTGTCAGCGGATTAACACTAGAAGAAACAGGTGTGACTGTTAAGTTGCAAAGTATGTTCTTCCAAAATTCAGCAGTTTATAAGCAGCTCTTGTAATCCCCATTCTACTCACAACTTGGATGAGGGGGGCAATTCTACAAAGCTGTTCTTATTTGTATTAGCCCAACATCTTATTACAGTATATAGTTTTTTTTCCCTAAAAATCTTCCATTCGTCCTTTTCTGTGTTTGTGAATGAGCTTTGTGGTAAATAAAGATTATCAGTAATAGCCATGTGAGAAGCCTTCAAGCTCCTTTATATACAATGATGTTCTCTTTCCCAATAGTGGAGATATGAGTGGGATGGAGCTTAGTTAAACTATGCATAATATTGTTCATTAAGCCCTTTCTGAATCATTATCTACACACTCAAACCATTTAAGCATTAGAGGGAATAAGTCAATAAACCACCAAGCCCTCAGTAAAGACAGCAAAGAGAAACTGAATGATGAAAACAAACACATAAATTGACTAAGGTGCCAAGAAAGACAGACAAGTAATCACTTTTCCTCTTATATTTACTTTAAGCCAGTAGTTGTCAGCTTCATTTTCCAGGGATTCTGGAAAAAATATTCTATACAGGGGTAACACAGTGTCACATAAACTAGACCCTGAGAGAAGCGTAAGTGATGCTTTCAGTCTCCTGGACACACTTAATGCTTCAACAACACAAACCACATTGTGGCTGGCAGCATAACATCTCATTATTCTTGCTGTGGGTTCCCTCTTGATATTTTATCAACTAATAAATGACAAGTAGACAGACAGTCAGACATGAAATCATGTTAAAAAAACAAGTTTCTCCCAAGAGGCATTTAAACAAAATTAAATAAACCTTGGGTGTGAGATGTGTCAGTGAGAAACAGTAAGACTATATTTAATATGTGGTGCAGACAAGGCTTCACAGCCAGTTAGCGAGGAAAAGTAGCATGGGGATGATATCAAGGCCTTGTAGAGCAGCTCTTATTGTGACAATGAAGCCTATAAATCTTCAGCAACATGATCATCTTTAGATGTGTCACAGTCATGCAAATCATTCTTTTTAATCACTAGAATATTTTTTCTGTGATCTGTATTTTGCATAATGGGATTTTAGGCAGAGAGTGCAAATATAACGCATTCATTTACACATTCACACATATACATTAAGATGAGTTTACCTGACCTCTTAATGTTTTTGGGCTCTGTAGCCTGAAGTTATCCATCCCTCCATCTATTATCTATACCATTTATCCTAACAAGGGTTGCAGGGGGGGGTGCTGGACCCAATCCCAGCTGACACTGTACAGGTCGCCAGTCTATCACAGGGCTGACACTTAGAGACAGACAATCACACACACCCACACTTACTCCTGTGGGCAATTTAGGGTCACCAGTCAGTCCAAGCAGCATGTTTTTGGGCTGAACCTTCTTGCTGAGGCAACAGCGCTAATCACTGCACCACCATGCCACCCAAATTAAGTCATTATAAAATGAAATTTTATGGAGTTAATTCCTCTAATCCACCTATGAGAAAGTAAATAAGCTCATCCCTGGCAACCATACAGTTATTGGTAATGGCAACAATAAAGGCCCTGTTTCCATGGATGCACACTTAAATCATGGTCAGATATGGTGGCATAGAAAGACAAAGAGAACAAAGACAAGGAGTGACACAGAAAGAAAGTGAGAGAGTAATAACATTTCTTTTTTAATCTCTGACAATTTCATCTCATAATATATGCTTTACAACAAGAAAGAATATCAGTTTGATGCAAAATTAAATTGAGACTAAATATAATAGAGGGAGTGATACTGAGACAGAAGGGAGATTGTTAATATGAAGAGGACAGAGAATGGAAGAAATTGAAACCTGCAAAGAGAGAAAATAATGCCAGAAATCCACAGTTAGCTCACATACTTGCCATCACATTGTTGCAGAAAGACACTGCTGCACTCTCTACACTCCACACTCTTCGTATTCCAGTGTAAATTTACTCAGTTTATAAACCATAAAGCATTGCAGCTGTATTCACCTGTGCACTTAATTGTGTGTATATCTGTGTCCATGCACACTCATATAAATTATGTGCACTTGCATGGTCACTGGTGCATTATGGGCTTGAATTAGAGGCACTTCATCTTGGACTATAGATGTGTTGTAAGCCAATTACCCCAGTTTATATGAAAACAGATTGTTTTCAAAATGCAAGGATGCATGACAGCTCAATATTAATTGACCACTTCCTTGTTACAAGTGTGTTACACTGTATGCCAGTGAGAGAGTGGGTGACTGGGTGACTGAGGGAGTAATTATATAAAAAGTACAATATGTGAGGCAAAGATGGATAAAGGCTACAAGAAATAAACAGGAAAAAAAGGAAGTTAAGCTGTTTTCAGTTCATCAAGTAAAAGTAACTCTTCACTTCAGGCTGTTTATCTAACTTCTCGGCCTTGTGCTCACCCCTGTCAGAGCAGAAATCTTGTCCTTGCCAGGTCAGAGCCAAACAAGAAGAGCTGCAGGGCTAACTGAATGAATTTGAGGATGTTTTGACCTTTTCTGGATTATTGTACATTTGAAATCTGAACAGATGAATGCGTAATACTCCAACAGTCCAGCAGTTTTTATATTGGTGTTTATGGTGAAATACATTGCCTCCATCACTCCATTTTAGAACAATTCATAAGAGCAAATTGGATGTTCAACATTAATTTATCTGTTCCTTTCTAAACAGTTACAAAATGCTTTGGTAAAATATATATTTTGTTATGTGACAACGCAATTTTTGAAGCTAAAGCATAAAATAACTTGGTTAGGCTTAGGAAAGCATTGGGATTTTGGTTAAAATAAGTAGACCTGCTTAAAGAAGTTAAGGTTTGGAGATCTTTGTCATCAGTGATAGGTAATAAGAAAGAACAGTGGCCACACATGTTAAAGTTTCTTTTTGGACACTAGAGGGTCTAGTGAAATTCAAACCTAACTGACACAGCTGCTCCTAACAGGTCTTTGCCCCTCCCATCCCACCCACTTTCCTTGCTACTACATAAACTACGGATGCCCGGTTGTGACAAACTGTATAAAATTCAGCCTCCAGTCTGAAGCTAGCTTTAGCTGAAAAACATGCAAATTTGCCACTAGAACACATTGGTTACTGCTAATGTTGGCCTCCCATCAC